CACACACACACACACACACAGAGAAAGAAACACAAAGTGTAAGCAAAAGCTGACATTGCTGCGTTTAAAGTAAGGGCAAAGTGATGCAATGTGCTCGCAACTTTACTGGCCCAGGTTCCAAAGTGGAGAGGTTTCCCACTGTTAGGAGAGACTCACATCACCAGTTTGAACATTACTGCAAAAAGAAAAGGCATTAACGTCGGACTTGGCGGTACTGCTCCACTCTTGATGATACCCCCTGCAGTAGTAAGGCATGCACATCACAACACGATACATAACATCCAGTGAGCCTCGCAAATAATTCCCCCATCGTGGGGCTTAATTTAGAAATCAAGACCCATCAGGGGGGCACACAAACACATAGCAGGTGGCGATGTAGGTGGAAACCACAGCAATAACAGCAGCACAAAAAAACAACAAAGTGTCTGTCAGTCTGCACAATAAATATATACATGAAGGGCACTAAAATGTACAGAGTTGTGTTAGGCAAGCAAGGTTCATCTGGACATACAGCATTTTTATTTTAAAAGAGCATTCTTTTTAATCAAATCCTGGTTTTGCTCATTTATTGGAAATTTATGACAAACTGTTTGAGGTTCTGAAAAAAATGCAAAAAGTTGACTCATATAGTTAATCTCATATAGTGAAGGAGAGGAGGTGTGTCAGAGCATATGAACAAAAAATGAGCTAACTGAAATCAATCAGGAATGGGGGGCTGCAGATAAAGAAAGAGGAGCAGAGAAATAGATTAGGAAGACATGGCAAAAGAGAAGCGAAGAGGGCTTTGATTTATGAGGCCTGCATCGGGGATAATCAAAAGGTGAAGGGATACAGGAGAGGGCTAAAGGGAGGCAAAACAAAGACAGAGTGAGAGAGTGAGACTGTTACACAACAGAGGAGCAGAGGAGGAGAGGAGGAGGAGGAGGAAAGCTTCTTGTTTGCCATGGTCCTGGTGATCAGATATAATGGAGTTTGCTCTTGGACACTGGCCATCAGGATGTTGTCTCTGCTGGAGACTATTCTGTGACTGTGTGACACTATAGTGTGGGGGCACAGGGTTGATTAAGTTCCTACACCAAGTGGTGTTCTTTATTTAGAATGAAGCTACAACACCGACTTTTTAAGCAGGTAAAGAAAACATGTTGAGGAAGTGCAAACTTCTTCAGTCTGTGCAGCTTCACATTTCATAAACACTACCTCTGATTTCATTTCACACTGAATGAACTTGGAGAAATTTAGAATTTTGGGCTCACACTTTTGAAAATAGTTCACGTTGAGCTTTTTTCCCATTCCCAGCACCCATGCAGTAAAGTAAAGTAACAGTATCTACCTTTAGGAACTAGTACTGTGAAACTAGAGAAAAGGCACCTAAACAACAGGAAATGGCAATAAGGAGGAAAGAAGTGGTAACAAAAATACAGAAAAGACAGATGGAAGTAACTATAAAGAAACACTGGACAACACAATATCAAAACAGGGACCAGGACTCAGCAAATACAAATAGAAAATTAAAGACCATGACAGTACTGACTACACATGGCAAGTGAAGCACCTTAGCTTTCCTATTAAACTCTTAGTGATATCAAAATATCAGTAGAATGTGAAAAATAATCTGCAAATAAATTCATAACATAAATGTATTTTCTTTAATGTATGTATTCATTTATTTACTTTTAACTTAAAGAATTTGTATAGACACGCAGGCCATATACTATCCAACAGTGGGTGCCACAGAACCCTCTGCAACACATTTTTAAAGTGATGCAGCAATAAATGGACATATCCGTGACAAATACATGGGATTTCTCATAAATGCTTTACAACAATTTTGCCAGTAGAATACTGTTATTGTAAAACAGAGCTAAACTCAGAATATCTCTGAGTCAGCGGGTAAAAATAGTTGCATTGTGTTCTGTCCCTGCAAGTACTACTACTTATGTATAAGCACCAAAAATTAGAAGTAACTGTTTAATGAGAAAAAAAGAAGAAAAATTTGTGTGCGGTTAAGCTCACAAGCATACACAGAAAGATATTTCTGTCTTATAGGTCATAAATGGCTCCTAAGAATCTAAAGATAGAACCTTACATTCTAAAGCTCTCCAGTGGCCGTCAGAGTCCAGGAGCGACTGAGTGTGAGAGGGCTTATAATTGAGGTCAATTGATTAGACGCCAGTGTTGTAACACATTTTTTTCTACAAGATGCAGCAGTGTGTGGGTAATAAGTTCTGCCGCAGTGCTTCCATTGACTTGTAGATAACTGTGTGTGTGTGTGTGTGTGTGTGTGTGTGTGTGTGTGT